CAAAGACACCAGAAGGCTTTTTTGAAAATGGGAAGTGTTGGGAAGTGAAAAGGGAAGCATTTCCGATCATTTCCACTCAAAATCATATTGGGCGATTTTCTAGCAGAAACCGTTTCCCGTCCTTTTGAATAGCAATTTAGCGATTTTTTCCATGGACTAAAAAGTCTTCTTAAAAATGGGGGTCAAGCGACATCTTGATGTAGATGTGTTGCACGATTTCCTAAGACTGGTATCTTCTGACGTCAGGCAACTCTCAAACTACATAGATCATAAATAATCGACGATGTGGACTCTTATGACAATGTTTGTTTCTTCCAATAATTAAAAATTGAATGAACAACGGGGGCTCTTACGAAAAATATTATTTTGAATCAACCATAATGCTTTAATCAACTGTTAAAGCATAATGTCAAAATTGAGAAATTATCAAAAGCTGAAATGATGGTCTACATTATGTTTTTGAGATACATTTGCACGTTTTGCATCCATTCGCATTTTTTTCGTATTGTTGATTTTCCTTGCATGGTGGCTCACTGCAGTTCAAATCAGGACATCGTTCACAGCCGCATGATTGACAAACATTTTCATCTTTAGCATAATACTGATTTTTCTTGCAAGGAGTACATTTTCGAAGTGGGCATCGGTGCACGTACAAGTCCGACAACCATTTTGACCTTCAGCATAATACTGATTTTTCTTGCAAGGAATACATTTTCGGAGTGGGCAATCGGTGCATGTACAAGTTTGACAACCATTTTCATCTTTAGCATAATACTGATTTTTCTTGCAAGATGTTTCACAATTTAATTGGGGACACTTTATACAATTACATCTTCGGCATCCATCGTTGTCTATTGCATAATAATAATTTTTCGGACACGCTTTACATTTAAATAGTGGACAAGGCTTTTTTGTAGTTGCAAAGAAGGGAAATTATTATGAAAACATGTATTTAAATATTTATTATGAAAACACTGGTTAAGATTTGAATTGTTAGATTGACAATGGGTTTTCCTTTTTTAGAATCGATTCTCTAATACTCACGCTAATACCGTTTTTGCAGATATAATTGTGCTTGATTTTGATCGACAGTAATTGGTAAAGTGTTTTTTTGTTATTTTCATGAGGTGCACGAAGCGGTAGTTTTGTGTCTCCGAGATAGAATACTAATGATAACAACGGAATTAGATGTGTGTGACCATTAATGTTTCTTCAACGACTGTACAATCTTTTATGTAACTGAAAAACAATTTTCTTAAATCTATTGTCTCGTTTCTTGTCTTTTGTATAAGCAAAATATCGTTCATGTTCAATATATGGCTCATGGGTGGATCGGTTCGTCGTTTATCCAGATGCATCTGATACCCGTCATAAACGTAAGCTTTCGCTTGCTTAGAATCATCATTATCGGAAAATAACCACAATGTACCACTGTCAGGACACATTGGCAAAGTATTGATAGCATTTGTCGGATCTGCTTCTCGTAATAATGCGTAGGCATCATCATAACTAATTTCCTTTTGAAGATGTTTTTAATAAGACGTACACAACAAGTGTTGTTAATGACATTTTACAAACTTATTATCATATGCTTCTTGAGCAGGCAGTATAAAAAGTTATTGTACCTAAAGAAGTTAGAAGATTAGAACGTGCATGTGCCTATTAACAAAACATAAAAATATCACAAATTTTTGGACAAAAGGAAGCTACCGCTATGCGCACATGTATTCGCCAAAAAGAATGATACTTATGAGCCATTGCACGTAAGCCATGACCTATTACAGCGGAGTAGTCTTCAATCGGTGTTTTCAAAACTTTTCCAAAGTAGGGGGCTCTTGTAGACAAAACATTTTAATGAACTTTTGTAAAAGGCGCAAATCAAAAAGTTGTATCGTTGCTGAGATATTGATATGTTACGAAAAGCCCCGAAAAACGTAGATTCCGCCATCTTGAAAATTTGCCAACTTTAAACTCTTGTAATTCAGTAACAACAGGTTACTTAACCTTGGAGATTTTCCCATAAATAGTAGACAGTGTGAGCTACAAAACCATGCAACCGCGAGCTCAAAACATGCTTTCGTTATTTTGTAATAGATGGCGCACTAAGAGCCCAAATCCAGAAAAGCCTGAATTGTGCTGTAGCACCCATCTGAAACAAAGTCGACCGTAAGACTTTCAACCATATTTCCAAATAGATTATATGCCAAGGTATATCTGGTAAAAGTCTGACGGTCTCCGGTGCTTTCGTTTTCAATATATCGCCATTGATAAGTTCTTTCTTAATCAGTTCATTTTTTAATTCTTCAGTTTTATAAGATACTAATTCTAACATATTCGAATAAGGTGTCAATTCTGTTATAACCTTAATAATACTATTTCTTGAGACATCATTGTTAGTATGCATATCGCCATAACTTTTTATTTTTGTGAATAAAGGATTCCAGTTCCGCAGTGTCCAGAGCATACTTAAGCGATGTAACATTTATTTTCTCCAAGGCATCCTCGTACTTTTTCTGATGTTCACCGAAATAATCTAAAACTTTTCCCTTGAATGCGATAGGGTTTTCAATGAAATCTTCTGAAAGCATATCGCTCAAAATCAGTTGGTCTTTTTTAAACTCATTTCTGAATTTCATAAACTCGATTAAACAGCTAAAACTTTTATCCACCGCTTCGGTTGTCTCGATAGTACTTGCGCATGAATTAGCGCTTAAAAGCCGATTCATAAAACAAACATATGCGTCTTCGAACGTTTTTCTTAATTGACGTCGTATTTCTAAATAAAGTTGCCTAATTTCGACGACAACATTCTCCAACTCGATTTTATAATCATACAGTTGTTTTGCATTAGCTAATGCTTCTCTAATCTCATCTTGCTCAAAGTTTTGATTTATTTTCACCATAATTTCTTGTACTTGTTTCTGAACCAGTTCTCGGCCCTTCTGAGCAATAGACGACATACCTTCTAATTGAATATCTTGCATAACCTTTTTCATTTCTTTTAGATCTCCACCACTAACTGCGTTATCTAATTGAGTGCTAAAGTCGTCAATATCTCGATTAATATCATCTTTACAGTATTTTAATTCTAATTCAACAGCGCTTCTCATATCTTCCGGTAAATACTTAACTGCAGACTCAAACTTTCTTATATGTAGGTTTTCCGGATTTGGAGGCTTTTTCAACTTAGCTTGTTCTAATTCTTTTCTGAATTTTTCGATAATTCTGTCTCGGATAGTAGTTACAGCCTCATTATATATCTCATTTGCATTGTTGACTTTTCCGAATTTTTCAAAAATATCTTTTGGTGAATTCAAGGTATATCCAGTAATATCCATTTCTGAATATTTTTTAACTACTTTCAACACAACATCATTCTGACGCTCTTTCAGTGCTTCGATCTGGTTGAAAGCATCTTCTGTACAATAAATTCCCAACAAAGTACGCACCAACGTTATGGATTCTATTTTTTTATCTGCTTCATAGAAATCGTTGATCTTAATGAGAGCTTTTACACCCTCTAAGAAACGTTTTATTCGCTCTTCAATCAACTTTTTAACTTCTGTTACACACCCATCTATTTCATTTGGTTTATCAAGGTATTGCGATATAAACTGTTTTGCGTTTTACATTTCTTCCAAATTTCCTACTATAGATGTTATTCTCTCTATTTCTATATTGTTTCCAAGCATAATCGCTTGACTCTTAGTTTCTTTCATCATACTGTCCAAACCAACGCCAGGGGCTCGTTTAGCTTGTTCATGAAAATGTTTTCCTACTTCGTTCGACGACTGTAATGCCACCATTCCAGAAGCGACTTGTACATAATCGGTATTTTTAATATCATCTATCACTTTTTTATAGACATCACTATTCTGTGACAAAAAAATAGTTTGCTACTAACGATAGACATCAATATACTTTTCACCTTCCAAAAAGCCATCTAATCTACTTAACGCTTTTACAATCAACAGCTTAGTATTTAAAGCCTCAATTTTTTGCGTGACACTCAGATTTTCCATTTTATCAGACAATTCAACTAAATAACGAGACAACTCCTTTTGCCACTCGTCAAATATTTTTTGATTTGAAATACAAGAAAAAACACACAAATATTTTGTCTTTAATTCAGATACTTCTTGTAGGCGACTTAATAACATTCGAGCTGTTTCAAATATATCTTCTTTATTAGTATCATTGCTATGATATTGTTTGATAGCTTCAAAACAACTTTCCCTTTGAAGTTTCTTTTTGAACAAAATGATTAAACTGTCTTATAAACTCTTCCAAACCGTTAAGCACAGACATACAATCACTGTTGAATACAAGTATTTTTTTACAAGCATCCAAATAATGAAACGCTTTTTCACCTTTAAAGAAGTCCAAAGTTTGATGCCCTTGTTCCTTATACTTTTCTAAACTAAATGTATCTTTAATAATAAAGAATACTTTATTTGTCACCGCTACAAACCAAGAATTAACGGCATCTATGTGTGAACCTACACTCGTAATAATTTTCTCAATAGGTTTCATTGCATTGATTTCAGATACTATTTTATAGGTATGCTCAATCTTATCAAAATTGTCAAGATCCAAATTTACTTCCATAGCAGATTTTTGTAATTCGTCTACATGCTCAATAGTCTGTTCTTCAACATTGTTCATCTCATCGAAATACACTCCAGGTCGATACTCCTCTATCTATTTGGCACTTTTTAGGCCAGACAGGCATTTTGTGAGCTTATCATAATTGACTTTCCCTTCTTGTCGAAAGAACGTTTTTAATATCGCTGCAACGTCGTTTCTTAATTTTTGTATACATTCACACAATTTTCCTAATGTACTGTAATAGGATCGAGAAGTTTTATATTCAATACTTGAAATTGTTCTGATCAAATCCATTTCTTTTACTGATTGTTCTAATGCTTGAAATGAATTTTCATTCTCAAGCTGCGTATTTATTTTCTTATTCACCTCTTCAAAATGGTTCAAAATTTTGGATAACAATGCCTCATAAACTGCATTGATATTTTCTATTGAGATGTGTGATTGAAGAGCGAATGTGTCCTTAGCGGACTCGAGCATGCACACACATCCATTTAGGCTCTCTACATCGCTTTTTCTAGTTTTTCCTGGCTAAGTATTTGATTTAGCTTTCCCACAGAATCACTTAAATATTTTAGTAAATATTCCTTAAGCTGTACAATCAATTTCAATATGTTGTCCGTATTTTTTAATAAAATGTCTTTCATCATTGCCGCATCGTCGTTTGAATAGTCCGAAAAGAAAGGACCGATGCAAGCAACAATGTATCCGCTGGTCGTAACTATCATCATTGGTTTTAACAGAGATCTCTTTTTGTACAGGTTAAATGTTTTTCTCTGGAACTGGTTGTTTCGGCTTTTCTATAATTAAAATAAGGTTGAAAATAAAATTAAGAATACCTTTTCATTTACTTGTATATAAATGTATGTTCCATCGATAACCGGCACAAGTGTGTCATTTCTTCCACCCATAAGTTCACGTGCTATTGTTGTTGTGTGATTATCTATTAACGACGATTAATATGAGAAAATCCAAGGTGATCGGGAACAAAACTTTCCAATAGTGCTTTACGAGCACTTTCAATAACTCGAGATACAGCTCGTTTATCTGGTAATTCGAATAATAAACGCAGAACTGTATTAGATAAACCCAACCGTAATTTACATAACAAACAGGCCACCGCTATGCGTATTGATCTAATTGACGTATTACGAATTGGTGAAACCGCTATCTCTTTTATTAAATTATCAAATTGTGCTTTGTTTAAGCTCGTCAAGGTATAATACTCATCATTAGAAATCGCAATACAATCATCGAAATCTAAACGTTTTTTTTATTGTAAAGTATTTGGGACGTACTTATTAACAATTGAACATCTCCCGTCTTAAATAAGGTACTTTCGATCTTGTGTGGCTTGACTACATTTATTGCATCGAGTATTAAACTACCATCTTCTAAATGTTCACGACAACACCTTGAACCTTCACGTATCATAACATTTTTCGTTAGAAAAATCATATTTCGATCTTCAACTGCTACGGTCTTTGACGAACCATCAATATGAGCCCGACAAATACAACACGTTCTAGAAACAACGGAATCAAGTATATTCAAAATAAATGATGTTGTTGCGGTCAGTTAGTTCAGGCCATTTACTTACTTATGAGAGCAAACTGTACAATTAAGTGGCAACGTAATACTCGGCGTTCCATCATCCTGTTCTATAGATTGACATTCTTTGTCTGATGAATTTCTTACCGCAGAGCAAACAGACAACGACAGTGGAAATCTAGTAATCGGGTGGTTGCTAGATTATTTCTCGGTTACAAATATCGATTTATCGTCCGACTTAACTATTGCTAATTAGACATGCAGACGTATCTGGTTAAAAGCCCCTTTTCGAACTAGTAATCTAGATGACAATTGGTCGTGTATCATCCTATTACAGATGAAATGTATCTAGATTTTTCCCATAGGTGATTTTTGCCTGGAATGGTTCTTAGCAGAGTCAGTTTCCGCTAAAATTTGGGCGAACAACGCTATAGTAGCGATACATTATTATGCAGGATCCCATCAGATACAACGGTGCGATAACTAACAGGTGATACCTATGAGGATTTTTTAAACAACCATCGGGCGATATAACTCGATATTAGCCGAAAAGATCAACTATATCAAGATAAACACTCGGGTCTAAAGTTAGTTACAAGCACAAGGACTATTCGATAAAACAGAATTTGTCCATCCGTGTTTAACAACGCACTCCAATACCAGTTTATACAAATTAGCTCGATCCAGTACATTACTGTCTTTCAAAATTTGAAATAATTCATCTCGATAATATTCTCGAAGAGCCATAAATAGAGAACTATGGACCTCCTCTTCGGAAGGTTCTTCTAATAAGCTTTTCATTCCATCTTCGAGGATGTGGTCAAAATGCTGTGTGGTGGATCGTAGTCCGTCATTGGTCAGAGAGTTCCATATATCGTCGAAAGCAGCTGACATATCATCATCACTCAGTGATTCACAGAAGAGTTGAATGACAATGGATAGCAACGGACAATTTTTCATGTACTTTTCGCTATATTCGGCGTTATGTGTCAGAACACGGTTGTATAATTCTTTTACTTCTGTTTCGATCTCGTTTATCAGTGAACGAAACCAGAAAAATTTGGCACAATATTGTATTTCCCATTGCTGTCGATGATACTTTTTAAGTAGTTGCAACAATGCACTATTGTCTTTCATTTGTTCTCATATATTTCAGCGATGATATCGCCAGCGTAAGAAACGAGTGTTTGCCGACCCTTTTGCAGGAAACTTTTCACGATTTCCACTGATAATCCATCTTCAGTCTCATCTAGTACGAGTAGTTCCGTTAATTGTTATTGGATTTCATCAATACTAGATAATGCTGAATGATTCGCTTCGATTGTATTACTTGTCTCAGAGCGCATTTCGCCTAAAGAACGGAATTTTCTCGCCATTTTTTAACTTTGAGGAGCACGACTTTTACAAAACCAGCGCAGTTTGTATAATTTCTGTTGTTCCGAGTCGTGTCAGAAATTACATACCTTGACCATGAAGAATTCCATTTGTGACTCTATGCAGAGACAAGCGAAACTATGTAACACACAGATCCGACATGACAGTGTTCGTGATAGCCAAAGGGTACGTTCGATCAAATGAATTATCCCTCTTAACTGTATCATGAAACTATCTATAGTAATGGCATTAACTACTTTTGTATCCTTCTCTAATTAAATATGTGAGCGATTTGCAATATTATTGTACCGTTGCATTCTAATATGAAAATATTGAATTTAGGATAGGAGAGCATCGTAACCGTGTTCTCTATCAAAATGTGCCTATATGTTGAAATTTTCGTTTAGATGACGGTGACCTGATTAAAATAATCCATAGCGCATTGGTATTGATCTTCATTCATGACTGATGCTAGAGTAAGATAAGTAAACCCCTGGACGTAATAGAAGACCATCTCCTATTAGAAGACCACGTTAAGGTTTATGGATTGCTTAGTGATTATAAGCGTATATTAACCCACACCACCACAAAATTCAATCATCTTATTATCTCGGTTTTTCCAGTAACTGTGCGTTAGCTAGATATCGTTCAGTTGTTTACTTTTCTTTCGATCAGTCATTTGGAAAGACAGCATTAGATCAAGATAACAGTATCTCCATCACACTACACATGTTTGGCTTGATAAGCGGTCATGGAAGTTTTTCTCAGCGTTTACACCATTTGAAACGAAATTCGGTTTGAAATTTATTTTTCGGAATAGAGAAAAAGTCGTGTAATGTAGTAGTATTCTGCAAAGTAATCTTGTTCTCGAAAAATCGGACATATATCCAGATCTATCCAGGTTATCTACAAAACGTTGATGTGTTTCAGGTATATCAGCCCCCATTGTGCGTATTTTTTCTCAATTAGGGTTTTTGACTAGACGTGAAAGAACAAGTTATAAGGAAAAAAACCTATCTCAACTGACATCATTAAAATGTAATAAAAGTTCGAGTCCGTAAAATTACACACTCAAGATTAAATGCTAATTGATCCTAATTCACCATCCAAAAAATGGCAACTTTTCTTAAAACTTGAATATCTCAATAACTACTAGGGTTGCAGAGCTGAGATTTGCGGCCAAAAACTTACTATTGATTGTACAGGGTGATCCAAAAAAAACTTACCCCCTGTGTATTTATTGACTTTCTTGTGTACAAATACAAGTGAACTTTTTATCATTAGTTTATTCAAATAAAGCAAAGATTTCTGGACAAAATGAGGCGTCTCTGAGCTCTCTAAGAACTTTTTTCGTGAAACAGCATTGAATTTACGGAAGGTCCTAAGAGCATATTTTTCTTGTTCGCCCATTAATTGTCTCGATTTTGGTGGTATGGGACCTTCCGTAAATTGAATGCTGATTCATGAGAAAAGCTCTTCGAGAGCTCGGAGACGTCTCATTTCGTCCAGAAATATTTGCTCTATTCAAATAAACTAATGGTACAAAGTTCAATTATATTTGTACATAAGAAAGTCAATAAATACACAGGGGGTAAGTTTTTTTTTGATCACCCTGTGCTTCTGACCTATGTAATTGAAATCAAGTTTGAAGAAAGTCGATTGAGAAGCTTCTGCAGTACTTGGTCATCGCATCTGCAATGGCTCGGCTCTTAAACAAAAACAGCTTATATCAAATGTATTATTATTTTTTTCAAAAAATACAGCAGAAATAAAAGACCATGGTCTCCTACAAGGGTTGCAACCCACAAACCTTAACCTGATCTTCTAACAGCAGATGGTCTTCTATTACGTCCAGGGGTTTACTTATCTTACTCTAGCATCAGTCATGAATGAAGATCAATACCAATGCGCTATGGATTATTTTAATCAGGTCACCGTCATCTACAATCATCTCAAACTGTCCTATCATCAAAATGTTATCGTCTGTTATCAAAAAGGCGATTTACACGCTAAAGTACTTCATACATGGATGTATTGGTCTGTTATGAGCAAGCGTTTGCATATTGCTATAAAAATAATTAGTATCCGTAAATACTAGACGCTAATATCCGTTCGTTACTAGAGCAGATCGAGCATCCTGTGAATGAGGCGGTATAGCTTGGCGTACAATCCTCTGTGGCCCAAACCGATGCTTGCTACATCCTGAGAGTCGCCAACGGCAAAGCGATCTTACACCAGGGAAACACAATTGTGATAATAAACATCAACCATTTGGTGCATGTCTCACTTTTGTGCATTTTTATTTGAAGATCTTGCATAGTCAATAATTTTAACTGAGTCTACACGATGGAAAAAGGACCTTTGATTCGGTACATTATCTGAGAATAAAGACTTTTCAAAACTGTTAAAGAGGAAAATAGTTCAATTTTGTGACGAAAAACAAAGGACGATTCAACTATCCCTCTTCCTTCGTGTCAAATTGCTGTGTACTAAACTCGAAGTTAAAGATTCAAATTATTTAATTTTTTATCGTTTTTATGACAAATCAGTAAGAAAATGTAGGTTAAAACATGCAAAAAATGCGAGTAAAAACGGTCTTCAGCTTCACAATATTAGTGTGAGGACTGATAAAATTTAGTTACATGAAAAAGTGTAATCAATCTCAAATGTGTGGGACTCAAATTCATTGGATCTCGGAGCTCGGAGATGGTCAGAAAATACTAAAAATCTTATTTAAAACAGTCAGATCTGTCGGACAAACACGAGAAATCGATGATGACGCTACTTAGTACCTTAAAATAGTGACATACAGTAACGTCATCAGGGTCTTTTCTCATTAACCCAGACCCATGATTATGACTGTGATAAACGGTCGTATCCGTCAAATTACGCTGTCATAATGTGACGTGTCCAAAAATCCAAAAATGGGATTAAGATCCTCAAAAATGGGAGCAAGGTCTCCAAAAATGAGCCCTTGATTCTCCGAGCTCATGGTGAAGTATAAATAATTGATGAGCATCACTCATTAAGTTTGCCTAAAAGTTATATTCACTGTAATTTTCCCAGACGTAGGCAAAAAAAAATAGAAATAAGTCATCTAAGTCGGTTAAGAAAGCTTCTTCAAAGAACACATTTAATATCAGTTTTCGGAGAAAGCAGCACTTTAGTATTCGAAAAAACCAGAATCGGAGTAAATCATCCCTCAGGTTTCTCCGAAATTCGGGGTAAATCGCTCTTATCTTTTCTCAAATTACGAGTAAACCGTTCTTGATTTTGTTCAAAATCGGAGTAAATCACTCTCCGAGTTTCTCCGAAATGAGAGTAAACCGTTCTTACCTTTTTCCACATTTGGGAGTAAATCGTTCATATTTTTTTCACAAATTGGAAGTAAATTTGACCAAATTTTGTAAAAAAGTATGGGGGGAGTAACCTGCTCTTGAGTAAAATAAAATCTTATCTTATCTTTCAATTATTAGACCACACACTATATGTTAAAAAAAGAAGAAATGGCTGTGTAGACAACGTGCATTATTTTCTTGCATGTATCACAAGTCGACGATCTTGAGACACTTTCTGCCAGATTCTGATTTTAAGGTTAATCTTATCAGATTCTGACGTATATACCCTATACAAGCAATTATAAGATTCAGATTAGAATGATTTGATCTTGAAAATTTTTCAAGATTCATGATCACTGATTCTTGGCAAGACATCAAAATCAGTCCATTCTGATCTGAATTAGGAGATTACTTGAAAATCGGTCTGATTCTTGCCTTTAAAACAGAAAAAAAATCGAAATAATAATATGATGAAAATCAGAAATAAATAAAATGGCATTGTTTTCGGCTTCTTCTTTAATCAAGCAAAACAAATGTAGTTAAGAAGACACAAAGAAAGAAAAGGAATCCTTTTTCTCAGATTCTGTTTGAAAATCTGAAGTAAGTCCTGAAATCAAGATGCTGACAGAAATAATCACAAGATTGTTGACTTGTGATATGATGTCCACATGTTTGCTCTATACTAGAGTTGCCTGATGCTGAGGTCAGAAAAGTGGAATAAAAAGTCGAAAAAGCGGAAATTTTTTCCAAAATGCGGGCGGGAAAAAAGCGGGAACGCATTTTTCATCGTGCTTGTTCATTTTTTACCAAATGCAAAGGGTATAAAAAAAATTTTCTGGCGCTTTATGGTGGCTCCACTTAAGAAACACAAAAGAAGTACAAAATAACATTTAACTCCAATTTGAATCTATATTGGCTTTTTGTGGATGCTCGTTTTTGATCAGCCGTCATAAATTTCAAGAGTTATGGATGACAGGATAAAATTTAATTCGAATCTTTCCCGCCTACGACAGTACTTAATGGTTAACATTTTCTGACCGAGTTGGCTTCGTTGAGATTTAGTATCTCACTATTTTACACACTCCCTTTCAGCAGCACTTGAGACAAGCTAAAGATTTTTTGTTATCGCTTACTTCTGGGGCAAATTTCTAGTTTAGTCCGTAAAACAGTGCGCATCTGTTTTATAAAAGTTTCGAAAACAGTGTTTTGACAAGTCATCCAGGTCATTTTTTATAAGAAAATGTAAAA